ATTGCATGGTTGTCTGAAGAAGCAAAGCCTCACGTGTATGAAATGGTGCATCACTGCTTGCATTAAGGCTTTTTGCCTTAAGGATAAATATACTTCATGAGCAATATTGATATTCAGTTTCTAAACATCAGCATAGGGCTTCACCATTGATCGAGTCATAGAGGAAGGAACAGTGTAACATGATAAAAGAATGAAGTTAAAAAATGCAAAATTATATCATGAACTCCAAAAAGATTGACTAGATTGGTCATATTTCTTCTTGCCCTTATTTTTGAAAGGACACAAGAAGCATTTACAATGCCAACTGGGCCAGAATTTCCATTCCTAAGCAGCGTAGTTGTAAAGCACAATTGCATTGCTTGGTGACAGCAATCCCTACACTCCTGGTTGCTGTTGTCAGTTGAATTTCATAATCGTTAGGTGAGGCAACTTCCTACCAGCTTCTCACAACCAAATCGTCGAGAAAACTGACAGAAAGTTGTAGGACCCAGGTACTTGCAAGCAGGATGTCAGGGAAGGTAAGTGGCTGCTGCCAGGTGCAAAAAGACCCGAAGACGCCAGAGAGTTGCCGTGGGGGGGTCAGGGAAGGTATGCAGGTGGCAGGGAAGTGCAGCAAGGATCCGGGAGTGTGAATCCAGAGGGGCTAGGAGGGGTGCATGAATATGGGAGCTTTACTCCTATGACTTGACCTTCCCTACCAGCTTCCCATTGACTTTCTGGGGATCACAAATGGTGATCACGTGATCATGGGCAGTGCAATCAGTTGTAACTGCAAGCCTGTTGCCAAGCGCCCGTATTACGATCACATGTCCACAGGGATGCTGGGACACTGGAACTCAAAGCCCAGTTATAACCAGCAACATCATTATTTCGAATGATTGCTAAATGAATGGTTGTAAATGGAGGACTACCTGTAATGTAATAATAGCTAAAAAATATGTACTGTTACCTCATTGCTGCAATCAATTGTATTCCCTGCCTTTTAAAAATATTTTTTAATGCTGTATGGGTACGTGAAGATTGTGGAAAGGTGCTTTTAATTCACTGACCTTCAACTTCTGCTTTCTTTTCTTCACTAGGAGTTGCCTTTGAGCAGGGCAAAATCCTTCCTACTCCGGAGACTGTACCTTTTAGGCTAACAAGAGACATAGTCGATGGCATGGGTGTTGCTGGTGTTGAGGGGGTCTTCAGGAGGTATAATTACTCCTTTCAAAGCATTTTAGCATTATGTGTGCTGCCAGGATATTCAGTTTTTACAGTTTGGGAAATTGAGTTGGTAAAAACTGTTTTCATTTTTAAAAATGTGGCCCATGTGAGCTGATTGTAAACTTTATTACTTCCTAGAAAAAAATACATTGTAAGGTTTTCTATAAAAGTTAAAATAGAAATTGGTTTTGACATTAAAATCTGTTTGGAAATTATTTAGATGCTGTGAAAAAACTATGAATGTTATGAGAAATTCTCAAGAAGCCCTGCTAACGATTGTAGAAGTAAGTGTTTCTTGGCTAAATATAACATTGAAAGTAATTCTTATATTAAATATACTTTGGTGTGTTGGACTACTATACTCCATAATTAACATTTTGCATCCCAAAAGACAACTTAGTTGGTAAGTAGCTTAAAAATTCTGATTCCTCTCCTATCTCAGTGAATATTGAAATGGAAGTAATATAATACAAATAGTGCATTATTACTGAAACATGTTAATGTCATTCTGAATTTCATGTTCCAATAAAGCAGACTTACAGCACAAGAAATATTAGACTGACATTCAATCATTTTAACACCCAAGTGAAAGAATAAAGCAGTAGACCAACCTAGGAAGGCATTCAGAAAGCTCTTCATGTTGAATTGCTTTGGACCTGATGATACAAAGATATGGCAAACAGCAGCATAGGTACAGACTCCAGAAAACAGATAATACTTTACTATGAATCATGTTGGAACTTTGAATTAAGTACTAAGAGGGTCTATCCACATCCATCAATCTAAATTGCTATATAATGGATAACTATAAAAGCTCTTGAAGGGATATAAGAAGATAAGTAGTGGCTGCTGGATCGGACCTCTGCCCATCTAGTCCAGCAGTCTGTTCTCAACATTAGCCACCCAATTGCACAACGAAGCCTACTAGTCACCCAGCAAATGACCTTCAGAAGCCATCAAAACTGACAGCCCTTGATCACCATGACTCATAAATTGATCCAATCCTTTTTTTAAAGCCAGCCATGCTGGTAGCCAGCACCACATCTCATGGTAGCAACTTCTCAGATTGAATTACTACATATTGTGTAGTAACATACTTATCAAGTGTTGGTTTGGGAAGGAGCTGCAGTCTTCTTTCCAGACCCCAGTTGCTGTATTCCCAAAATAAAAAGTTCATATACTTTACAGCCATAAAATCCTTCAATGAGCATTCTTCCTGTCAGTCAACAAAATAAGAGCTAATAACAAAATATAACACTTGGGATTGCAGATTGAGGCAACCTTATCGCTAGTTATTTGATTTGGTTATTTGATGGAACCAGAGTTCAATAGTTGAATTTATGGGTTGAACAATTCTGAATTTTGGCTTAGAATGCCAATTTTAAAATTATGCTACACAGATAAAACTTAATATATTTCTGTAAGAGATGGGCAGTGGAAGTATCTTTTTAGAAACATTATCGTGTCTCCTTTGATATTTAGGTGCTTCTATATGATCCTCTTTTTGACTGGACTATGAATCCTTTGAAAGCTTTATATCTGCAGCAAAGGTCAGAAGATGAAGCTGATGTCAGCTCCAACTTCAGTAGTGCTGACCAAGGATGTAACAAAAAAGCAAAGTAAGGAGAAATATTATTATTTTGCATGTTTTGTATGTATGAATTAGTATCGGTATGCCTCCTAAAACTCTTGTTTCCTTCTCAGTGGTGAAAACCAGCTGTTCAATAAAGTGGCAGAGCGTGTTTTGATACGACTTCAGGAGAAACTTAAAGGAATGGAAGAAGGTACAGTGCTCAGTGTTGCCGGCCAGGTGAACTTCCTCATACAGCAAGCCATGGACCCCAAAAATCTCAGTCGCCTCTTCCCAGGGTGGAAACCATGGGTATAAAAATATACTATAAGGAAATAAGACATGATTTCCAGAAGCGGTTACAAACATTTTCATGGTTCCTAAGGAAAGTAGAATTTAAAAATATTACATGGAAAATGTTGAATCAAAAAGCATTACTGTATTGCACTTATTCCAGTGTGATGAAAGCAATATCAGAGTTGTACTGTAAGCCCTGTCCCTTTTTTTATATATCTTTAACATTAAAATGAAAGCAGTAAAATCCTGTGGACGTCCCAGAAGGATTAGTCTTTTGCTTGCATTGGTACAACAAGGAACATGGCTTCCTGGTCTTAACCCCCAGACACGAATTTCAGGAAATTAACAATATTACAATTTGCTTTAACAAAGGGAAAATATTTTTCAGTAAGCCCCACTCCTTGTTTGGTTTAAGAATGCTGCTGCAGCACAGTAGTTCTTATTTCTGCTGCGTTTAAAATGATCAAACTGACATCAAGCCTGTTAGTGCAATATGGTCCCCTTGCCTTTCTCTTAGACAAGACGAGAATGTACTCAAGATAAAAACGTGCATCTATGCATGTTAATGATGATGCTGTGCATCCTGCTATATAAATATTTAGGAATTTCTGATTTATAATATATATAAAGTTGTCGTTTTTTAAAAAAAACTGATAACAGGAAATTGTGTGTGTGTGTATATATGTACTGTGTGCGGTTCTGAAGACATTTCAAAAGAAAAATAGGAATTCACAATAACACATACAATCAGAAATAATTGCACGGTACTACATTACTTTTCATTATTACTAAAGAGTGCAGTGGCTTTGGTTTGATAGACCAACTGGCATAATCTATCCTACTTTATGCAGTAATAATGGGGGAGGGAAATCCCCCCCTTTTCTTTTCTTTTCTTTTTACAATGAATGTGAACATAGATTTCTTACAAACAGAATACTTTCAGTAAAGGTTTTAGTTTATACTACCGGTAGCAAGACATTCCTATGTCCACTATGTTGTTCTATATCATGGAAAATATAACCTTATTTTACATTTCATTATCAATTAAATTTAGTTCAGTATTAAGCTAATCGTTTTTGTTATAACTTGTATGTGCACTTTGGAACCTGGAAGAAGTTACTGAAGGAACTTTGTGAATTAAAATATATTGTAAACACTGTTGTGGGCACATGCTTTTTTTTTTGAGAAACAAAGTAGTATTCAGGTGGAACTATTTTTTTATTTGCTTTTCATTAGACTATTATTTGTATATTGATATGCTTTGAAATGCAGAGGTCCGAAAAAGTGCCTTTTCAAATGTACAAAAAAGCCAAATTCTTTTGAACATGCATTTCTCTTTCATATCTATTTATTATAGTCCATTTTGCATAAAGCCATAGTGAGCTATAAAAAAATGAAAGAATGTTGTCACCTTTAAATTAGTATGTGGGAAATTCATATTGTAGCTGACAGGATGGCAAAGATAATATTTCAGCAGAGACACCCTTGAATGCTCAAAATTTTTCTGCTACTGATTTTTTTATTACCATATTTTTCAGACCATAAGATGCATCTAAGTTTAGAGGAGGAAAACAAGAAAAAATAGTTTCTTGCTTCCACGTGTCCCGTTTTTGCCCTCCCCAGCATCCAGAAGTTCTAGCATTACTCTGGAACGCCTCAAGCAATTTCAACCAAACTTGGCACACAGATGATTTACCCTCTGGAAACAAATACTGTGGGGGTAAGAAACCCCTAAAACTCCTCAGGGGTGTGTGTGTGTGCCTTAAAATGGTTTCTACTGTACAGCACAGTGGATTTGCCATGGTAACGGCTTCACAGTACTCCACAAGGGGGCTCCCTCTTGTGGAGGAATAGAAGAATTGTGATGCTGTGCAAGAGACAGTACAACAGTGTTGAGTCCCAACTACAGGATTTTCCTGTCTAATACAGGATTGGGATAAATAAACACCTGGGCAACACCGGGTAATCGGCTAGTGCTTTATATTTTGAAACATTTCTATGAAGAGCAAACGTCTTTATAACTTTCACAGTTGCATGGGTAATTGTCTCAATTGTAAGGCAAACAAAAATACAGAATACATACATTCATACATATGTGCAATACAGTACATTTTTTGAGAATCCATAGGAGTTTTTTGCCAGAGAAGGTTACCTGATCAAGATATGGTCAAGAAATGAACTCAGGCTAGAACAAGACTTTCTACCGCATAGTCCATATGTTTTTATTTTCACCTACTTATCTACTTCTAATGTCTGCCAGCACCTCCTTTAAACTCAAAATTTTCACAATCCCTTTTCCACTCCTCTATGAATGAGAAAATGTTCATTCACTTTGGAAGCCCCTGACCGTTTAACTAACATTCCAACTATGATTGCTCTGGTAATGGCTAAACACAGAAACACGTGGTTGCTCAGGTTGTTTATAGATTGATGCCAAACCTCAGTAGGGACCTTCTCCTGTCATCACTACCTGAACAATAATATGTGATTGGGTCATTTCCATATCTTTGCTTACTTATATGTAATACCTTAAGTTTGTCAGAATCAAAATAATTAATGATTAAAAATAAAATTGAAGAATTAAGAAATACTACTAATTCTGTGTATTACAACAGACATATGTCATCTATCACAAAGTAAGTTCATTAGGAAACTAAATTTAATTTCAAATTTCTTTACATTCATTACATTTTATGTTAACATGTTAAGGCACATTAACTTGACAAATGCATAGATTCCATCTTTTTATACGGAGTTTCTAGTTTTGTCTCGTGAAGTTTTATGTTGACACTGTTATGACTGATGAATGTTCAGGTGTCAGATGTGTGATTTTTTTGCTTCTGCAACTATTAAAGTGAGTTGATAATAGGTCTCTCTTTTGGTCTATACTGAGATTGCATTAGTTCTTGGATGTTCTTTGGTATCAATTCAGAAACGTTGTAGTATTGCTGAGTAAACTGGAAAGCTAAAGATACAAATGAAGAATATTTATACAATAAAACCAAATGTTTTATAAAAGCACAAATATATTTTTAAACCATTTACAATGGAAAACTGAATTCAGGGTATTTATTCATAGATAATATTGCATGATAGCAACACAAAATGTAACTCCTGGATTCCTAGAAGATACGCCCAATTCAAATTTACTGAATTTAGATTTATCCTTGAATTATTAAATAATGTTGAATAAGCATAATCTTTTTAAAGTTTATTTTCTACAATAACATGCAAAATGGCACATTTGCATCTGCAATATTATATATTTATCCTCTTTCAAATTGTATTCTATGTCTATTTTTAGGGATGAGGTTTGAGACCACAAGCATTTCTTGAACTTCTGGAGAAAAGATGGCATAACAGACAAATTCAACACATAGTGAAATATATATAATCTTGTAACAGGTCATATTCTTGCAAATCTTAATTCTTACCAAATTGACTTCAGATATTTGATTGGGCCTAGAGACTTGCTTCTCTAAAAATACTGAAAACTAAGACTTCAATATTAATATCATTTTTCTGCATTTATAAAATCCACATTTATTTTAGAACCTCTTAAAGGAATATATTTAAAATGTCCACATGGCAAGTCCCTCAAAAGAAATTATAACTAAGATCCAAATCACTTGTTTTCATCCACTTTTACAGAATACTAATTAGTTATGCCATAAATTTTGTTTAATTAACTGAATTAATTAAAATTTTAATCAACCAAAGATTTGCCTTCATAACCTTATACACCTAATTCTACAGAGAGGCATAGGAATTATGCATCTGTGTGGGATTATACCACCAGCTGCCATCACCACATGTTACATCTCATGTGCTACACGAGTCTTCAATTATCCATGTAGTTGACAATTCAATACTTTAGATTAAAATTACATAAACAATAAATCAGCAAATGTTTTACCTTGAAAACTTTCTGAAGTCTTGCTTGTTCCAACTTCTTTCCATAGTTTAACATATCTAGGTAAACAACAAGCACAGTGAATAAAATGGAGCAGTAATAGCCAAATTGCAATCCATGTTTTATAGCAGAGTGTCAAATTCACAGCCCACAAGCCGGAGGCATCACATGCTGGCCATGCCCATCCCCGTTTTAGAGAGGGGGAAAAAAATTGTGATACATCATGTGATGACGTGTCATCACGAGTTTGAAATCCCTAGTTTAAAGTGATATATACACATATTCCTAGCATCTCACTCCATCTCTAACACACATTTTTTAAATCTCCCAAAATTACGGTAACAATTAAAACCATCCAAATCGCAAAAACAAAAGCAAGGTGAAACAAGAACAAAAGGTGCGCAAGGGGTGTTATAGAAAAGCTTTTATTAATTTCCTATATTACTGCTGCTCTCCCTCTCCCTCTCATATATATATATATTATGATTTGATGGTGTCTGTGTGTGGGATTTTTGGTGTCTATGTGTGGGAGAAAGACCGAAGAGAGTGAGTATGAGTTAATAAATTAGATTAACTTATTAATATAAATTGCCAGTAGAGCTCAAAAGCTAAAAATTAATAATTTTAAAACAATTAGATTTAGAAAAGGAATGAAAGGTGAACTTTAAAACCATTACTCGTCATAATTCAACGCATTTGTCCACTTTAACATCTCATCTACTTCCCATTCCATCACTTGATCTATTCCTTCCTTCTCCAGGGACTTGATTAGACCTTCGGTTGCTCTCTGAATTAAAGCAATTGCCTCCGGATTCTCTGTTTTAACTTGAAGATTTTCTCCAAAGTACCTAGAAAATAGAAATATGTATTTTCATTCATAATAGCTACAGCATTTTCATTGAGCATTATTATTATAATCAAATTTATTTGCCACCCGTCTCTCACTCTGGGGCAACTATATGTCCTCTTCCCTTTCAAGGTAAGCAACATTATTCAAAGGGCAGAAAAGGAGGAAGAAACAAAAAATGAATAGAATTACTCTGATAGATTAATAGAAATTAATAGAGTAGGTTTGGTCTATAGAGCCACTGGTTAAGGTTGGAAAGCAGGAGACCGTGAGTTCAAGATTTGCCTTAGCCATGAGAAGCAGCTGGGTGACTTTGGGCCAGTCACTCTCTCTCCGTCCAACTTACCTCACTGGGTTGTTGCTGTAAGGAAAATAAACAGGAGCAAGGTGTGTCTCCACTGCTTTTGAGTTTTTCTCAAAAATAATAAGGGAAGGAATTAAGCAAGCAAATAAATAAAAATAGGGAATTAAAAGCCTGAGGTAGAAAAAGAAAAGGAGGCTAAATCTAGTTTACATCAACACAATCCGTATACTTCCCCAAAGATTTCTGTTCCTGCAAACCATCCTTAGATGGTTTACAGCATCAACCATATACAGCTTCACTGCCTTTTAAGCCTCACTTCCTTGTTTGGAGGGAATATCATAAACTCCATCCAACAGTGACCTTTTAAATCTCCCTCTGCTCATTTGCTCTTCCTTTATATCTTTTTCATACTGAACCTCATTACCTTTTTCATGCTAGTCATTCATTTTTATATTCAATCAACATTTAGTCTATACCCATTCATCCTTGATCTAGCCAACATTTACTACCATCTGCCCAAAGGAGCATATAGTCATTTTCACCTTTTTCAAAAAATGCTGATTCCCTGCAACAAATTGTGCTGCCGAATTCTTTCCGATTGCCATTAGCATTTCTTGAAATTTCTACACTTTCTCCTCTATGGTAATTTTTTGCCATTTATAAATAATTTTAATCCATTTTTGCCTTGAAGCACAAGTCTCTTCACTACAGTAAACTTCATATATTTACTACATTATATAACTCAACATTTACTGCAAGTCATTTGGGGTTTAGCCAACAATACAGCTTCATCTGCCTGGAAAAATACACATTTCCAAATGAAACATCTCTAACATCATCTCAAACAGTGCAAAGACATAAAATAACCAAGGGTACATTACGCATGATTGCCTTACTCCTTATTCAATATTAAAACTATTTCCTAATCTTCCTGTTTATTCCCGCATGTGCTTTCCTTCCCTCGTATATTGTTCTTACTGCATTTGATAGTAATTTTCAAATCCCCATTTGTGCAAAACAAGGCTATCCATGTTTTATTTAACTCAACAAAAATCTAATAAATGTATCACATTCATATTGTTTTCAAAAACCTACCAAAGAGCAAAACACTCTTCTGTACTTCCCTTGCTAAACGTAAAACTTCCCATACTTTGCCCATTGTTATTCCTCACATCCTTTTGATCAAAATTCTTCCAAATACCTTCACTGACACATTATAAACTAATCCCCTTCGAGTTTTTGTATTCTGGTGTTTTCCTTTGTAGAGGGAACAATAACCTTTTCACAGTGACCAGGCATAGGTGCAATCTACACACATACCTTACAAGTTGCACAACGGTTTGGTAAGAAAATCAAACCTACATTTAACATGGCATAACATGTGCCATGGAGAGCACTGTTTCACAAACTTCACAACTTTAAACATGGCGCTGTGTGTGTGTGTCTGTATCGCTCTCTCTCTGTGTGTGTGTATGTGTGTAATTCTGGGAATTGAACTCCACCAATCATAAATTGCCAAGTAAAGTCAATGGAAAGACAGCAGGAAATCACAAGTAGCGGTAATGTGAGGTCCTCACTTAATGACCCATGTGATCCTTGCTAAAATGATGGTAACCAGAACTACCGAACTGGCGGCTTTAAGTGGCACAAACACAAGGTTTTTCTATTTACGACAGCGTTGCTTAACAACTAAATTTTCAGTCCCAATTACCATTGTTAAGCTAAACTGTACAGATAATCCTTGAATTATAACCACAACCGAGACCAGAATTTCTATTGTTAAGCAAGGCAATTGTTTAAGTAAATTGTACACAATTTCACCACCTTTTTTGCCATGGTTGTTAGTTGCAGTTGACATTGACTTTGCTTGTCAGAAGCCCTCTGGGAAAGTCTCAAATGGCGACCCCATGACCCCTAGGACACTGCAACGGGGACACGGCAATTGTCATAAATAAATGCAAATCAGCAAACACCCAAATTTTGACTATGTGACTGGGATGCAGTGAGAGTTGCGAGAGAACCACTTGTAAGTCGCTTTTTCCAGGGTTGTAACTTTGAACCATCACTAAATAACAAAGTTGAACACTACCTATACAATGTATTCAAATAGCAATATAATTTTAATTTTTTTGAAACCTTGTTAATAATAACACACTCAAGTGTAGGTTTCCAACACATGGCTAATCAGCCTTGAAGAATTTAGTCTGCAAATTGATTAATGTTTTGATACATACTTGTTAGCAATTAATTCATTTATACAACACAATTCCTAGACAGTACAATGCAAGGCAAAAAGTGAAAGACACATGTAGCATTTAAACTTCCACAACAACAATATCTATGATATATTCTGAGACTCATTCAATTAAAAAAATGATTCTGAAAAAAAACTCACCATATTAAATTATCAGGACTGATTTTGACAAGAAATTCAAATGGTTGCCTAGGGAAGCACAATTTTTAAGAACTACTGCACAAAGCACAGATAGATGGACTACAACTTTCTCTGCCATAAGAAAAAAGCCTGTGGCATGTTCCAGTAAATGTAACAGGGAACACAAACTCATTCTCTGGTTTCTTCTCTACTAAAGTTTATTGCCTATTTCTGATTCTAAATCAGATCTCTGGCAGAAACTATGTGTTCATTGTTCATTGCCAGAATCACTACTTGGTAGATTGTAGAGTTGTAATTGCAGGAATGTTCCAATCTTGGATGGCAAACCTCAGATAAAGAATGTTTCCAAGCAAATACAACTCAGGTAAACAAAGTCACTAATCTAAAGGAGGATTAGAGAGAGGAAGTAAAGATATGTTAGACTTTAACTAGAGATAATTAATTACTGTGCTAAACAGTAACGAAAGTTAAGCAGTAACCAAAGTTAACCAGTGATGGAGGATAACTAAAAAATGTGTATAAATGCAAGACTAGACTCCAATAAAGATCATCATGATTCAGTTGTTCATGATCAAACAACTCGACTGCCTCGTCATTACAACAGTAGATTCTCTGTGTACTCCTTTGTAAATTAGACAGAAACCTGTGATCTTCAGGTGATACCGAACTTCATAATTCCTGAGAACTGGAGCAGCAACTGACAAGATAATATCTCAAAAGCCACAAAATTTTGATGCCACCTGGCCTTAATCTCTTAGGACTAATAATACTCTTGTTCACCTGTTGTGTTAAAGAACTGGTGCTCTAAGTTAGAAATACCCACGGCTACTCACAAAATACACACTTGGAAACATGTAATGACTTCAGGCTCTCAGGAAGGCAATTTCAGTTTTAACAACTCCACCCAAATCGTTTATTTGTGTCTTAGAATTAACTTAGCCAGTTGACTGACAATCAAGGTATTTAAAGAACACCCCCAGAGCACTGGAGGGCACTGTTGTATAAGAAGAGGTCTCCTTACGAAAGACCATACCAATGTGGAAGGCAGCTTCCAATGCTGATTCACACCTGCACTGTTTTATTGTTCTATTTAAACATAAATAAACAAACACACAAACACCTGGAGAGCCACTTTATTGGACTAACCTAATCTTTCCCGTTTTTTTTTTAATTTCAAAACATTAAAACTCATTTAAAAATTTTAACTTACAACTTTTTAAATTATCACAGAACATATCATATACGGTCTGGTTAGTTACTGTGGAAATACAGTAGCTTAAATATTTTATGCCTCCTCCAATGTGTTGGGATTACAGGTAGTCCTCAATTTACAAACCCAATCAGGACTGAAATCTTGGTTGATGAACAAAATAGGCCGTTAAGCAAGACGCTCAAGTGACTGCGTCACTCAATGACTGCAAGCCCAGCATTCCTGGTTGTGGTCATTAAATGATCTGGGTTGTTAAATGGAGCAAAAGAACTGCCCGCTGAATTCAACTCCTGGAAAGAAACTATTCCAGTGAGTTGCAGGAATGGAGCTTGGGACTTCAGAATCTGACCTCTGTTTTCTGCACCCCGCCAAATAAATTTGGCTCCCCTTAATGTGCCAAAAGGAACTGTAGCTCTAGCAGGTTGTAGAAACAGAGCTCTCATCTTCAGGATTGGAGCTCCTTTTCTCTACCCCACCAAAGGAGTTCAATTCTCCTTGGTCGGCAGCTATTTCAGCCAGCTCCCAGAGGCAAGGCAGAATCCTCTCAGCAGGCAACAGCAACTTGTAACCTTCCCTGTTGGCTTCCCCACTGACTTTCTGGGGAAGCCAGCTGAGAAGATTGTGAAGGGTCATCACGGGACACCTGGCAACCAGTCATAAATTTTGCCAAGCACCCAGAATGCTATCATGTAACCATGGAAATGGGGAAGGGGGCCACGTGATGTTTTACAATGGCTTTAGGGGGGTAAAATACTCCTTTGAGAGGCTATTGCAACTTCGAGCAGTCATTAAATGCCCAGCCGTAAGTTGAGGACTGCTCATATAACTTTTGCTAGCTTGACTGAATTTGAATCAGTGATAACTTCAGCCTATCAGGTTGGCATTAAGTAGAGGAAGTTTAACTTGGAAGAACAGTTTGCCTTAGTTCTGTTGCCCTGTCTTTTAGATCACAGTTTTTTTGAACTTCTGTAAAAACCTGATGGATTTCAATGAGGGCTAAGGGGGAAAAATACAAGCACCACCAATATTCTGTCTCTAGAGCTTTGCCTCTTGATCAGGGATTACAGATCTTTTTTTTTTTAACTAACAGGTTTTCTGGCCTGAAAAGTTTTACATTCCCCAGTCTGGATGAATGCAGCCAATAGAATTGGGCAGAAATGGTTAACTTGTGATTTATGGCAAGCTATTTTCAGCTGATGAATAGCTGTGACTTAATAATGATGGATTACCATTATATTAGCATAATATGGCTGAATGAATGATAATTAAAAAGCACTAAGCTGATAATAAAATGAAAATTGACCACTCTCGCGTTCAGAATTTTAAGTCGCTGTAACTCACATTTTCTTCAGCCATTCAATTTTTCTTGTCTTTCTTCTTTTTTCCATGTTTCGTTTCCTCTGCTGAGGAGAATGATGGAATTCCTGTGTTTTGGTATTGTCTTTCGTTGTTAAAGCGTCCACACCCTTCCAGTACTGAAATATATTGTTGAAAACCATTTCACATTTATCAGATTTTTTAAAAATTATTTGTCAAGGCTAAATACCTTGAGGACAACTGCCGTTCTGACCTAGCTTCCCCCTCTCTACCAATATGCTCTGGGTTTTTTAGGGCTCAACTTGTTGATGCTTGCAGAGACAAGAGAAAAACTGGAGCTCGGCAATGGCTGTGTTTGAATAGTCTGCTATGTTAAAAAGGCAGGCTGCTAAATAGACATTGATATTCCCCCTTCCAATTCTACCTTGTGCTTCTTACTAGGTTGGCAACTCCTAACACTGCTGTGAGTCAGTTGGTTGAAATGGGCATTACACAAATAAAAGGAAGTATATTAAAGGTAAAGGGATCCCCTTTTCAGTTGTGTCTGACTCTAGCGGGCGATACTCATCCCTGTTTCTTAGTCAAGGGAGCCGGTGTTATCCAAAGACATTTCCGTGGTCATCTGGCCAGCATGACTATAATCTGAGGGGCACAGAATGCTGTTACCTTCCCACCAAAGTGTTACCTACTTGCATTGGCATGCTTTCGAACTGTGAGGTGGCCAGGAGCTGGAGCGAGTAACAGGAGCTCACCCTATTCCAAGGCACTTGGGTCTCAAACCTGGGCTGTCAGTTTTCCAGCTGACAAGCTCGTTGTCTTTAACTGCTGAGCCATTTATACTAAGGTTTAACCAGATGGTGTAGTTGGTTGGAATTTAGTTGGAATTTTTAGAAATGTTGACAAAATTTGCTTATAAACTAAAAGTGGTAGCCTTTTTGGATTCACCTACCCTATGGAGTTGCATTTTATTTAACTTTTTAGCTTAATATGCAAAAGCGACCCCAATTGAAGAGAAAAAAAGGAGAAGGCAATGGTAGCTAATTATATTTCCTTTCAGAATCACCTGAAACAACATTGTAGGAAGTGACAAGAACTTTTCTGTTTCGCATCAGAATTCTCTGATATCAATCTTCTACAAATACTACTAAATTCTGAGTTGACAGCATAATACAGCCTTTTTGTACAAGTAGTCCTCAACTTACAAACAGAAGTCACCCGTCACAACCTATGCAAACAATCTGGGGAGGGCAATAACAGAGGAACCAAGTGAGAAATTAAAATATCTATTGTCTTACTCGAATGGAAAGAAGTCTCCAGCCATTATTCTCGATGCGTTTATACCAGTCACTAGTACTTTCACTGACGGTCCCTTTCTGCAACTTCTTTGGATTTGGTTTGGTTGCAATCTTCGCATAGTCTTTGGGGCTATTTGCACACAAATCCACAATAGGTCTATGAGTAAATATTTTATAGTATATGCTGGGAGGAAACTTGTCCTGCAAGGAAATATCCAGTTTAAAAAAAAGTGGTAAATGGAAAACTAGTCGCTGCAATTTGCTTTTGCAGATCCTTAGGGATATTCTCTGTAAATGTCTATCTATTTACCGAATGAAAAGATTCTAAAACAAATCAGAAGCAGACTGGAATTATTTTTCTCTTAAAATGCACTTTTGTGAGTCCTGAGACAAATCATTCTGAAATGGTTTTGGAAGCTCTATTATTTGCATAAAGGGCAAAATAGCCATATAGTATGTTTGTTAAGCGTGAAGCAATCCTGAACTGTATATATCAGGGGTCAGCAACCCGTGGCTCTAGAGCCACATGTGGCTCTTTCATCCCTCTGCTGCAGTTCCCTGTCACTGGTCAGCTCCATAATTGATAGGGCTTTTGGTTAGGACAGGTAGTGGAAAAATGATGCCATGCTAGGAGGAGACTCTATGGTGGGGGAAACGGACTTCTGGTCGGCACAGAAAAAAGTACGCCACGCTAGGAGGAGACTCTATGTTGGTGGTGGGGAACAGTGTTTCCGGTCAGTTCCAGAATTTAATGGGGGCTTCCTATTAGGACCTTTATGGCTCTTTGAGTGTTGAAGGTTGCCGACCCCTGGTGTGTGTGTGTGTGTGTGTGTGTGTGTGTGTGTGTGTGTGTATTTGTTTTCTGAGGTTCTCGCGGGTATTTGTATGTGGATCTTTGGTTGTTCGGGTTTTCTCCCGCGTAAGATTCGAAGTATCTAGGCAACGTTTCGATGAAGTCTCATTCATCATCTTCAGGCTTCTGTCTTCGGCTCTTGCTTCTCAAAGCAGTTGGACGCTCAAAAAACACAATTTTGATTCTAATAGTGAAAGCCAGTTTGTTGCAATGGTTAAGGAAACCAAAAAAGTTCATGACTTCTAATCCCATCTTAGGGACAAAAACCCACTGGATGGCCTTTGGATAGTCACTCTCTCAGCCCCAGGAAAAAGGAACTAGCAAACCACTTCTGAAATCTTGCCAAGGAAACCTCAAGGGTTTGTCCAATACAAAGAGGCAACAGTAACTTGAAGGTGCACACACAGGCACATTCTACTATCAAGCTTTGCTCATTGTGTAAAATGAAGAAGAAAGTCTGTTTTAAAGATGTCTTCAGGCTTTTTGCTTACACAGTTTTAGTTTCTGCACTTTACTAACAAGTGATAAAATCCTGGCATAAACTTACAAGTACTCACAATATGTTTTTTAAAGTATGAAAAAATGTGTGATTATATTAATGTGCATACTTGCACATGTGCACAAAGACACAAAGACGTACAAATATGAACAAGCACTCATATTTGTACACTTGTTTTAATTATTATTAAAATATAATTGTTAAATGTAAACTCACCCCACCTAGTCTGAATTTAATATGAACTCCTGCTGCAGCATCTAAAAATTCTGCCTGTAATCAAACAAAATTTTACATCTGATAGCATGCAAAAATTTTAAAAAGTTAATGAACTTCATTACTCTATATATCAAAAACAGTGATAGAATATTTCTTTTTAAAATTGGAATTAAATTGGAATAAAACAATTGACTTTAGGACCTCATTTTAACAGGAAAGATGACCTTGCTTTATTTTACGTAATTCCTGGAAACTGGCTTTAATTTTTGAGACACACATTTTTCATTTCTCATTCTATATTTATTTTGAATCAATATTTGCAACCACAGAAAATCCTGAGTTGGCTGTTGGCTGTTGGCTATTCTGGGCGGAAAAGACCAGAGTTCTATCAGCAACTCAGCTGTGAGTACAACTGAGCAGGTTTCCACATGGAAAGCCAGAACACTATCAGAACATCCTTTAGGACAGAGATGGGCAACTATGGCCCCTTTACAACCTGTGGACTTCAACACCCAATGTTGTTGGGCCAGCTGGCTCAGGAATTCTGGGAATTGAAGTCTAGAGAGTCATCAAGGGGCCACAGTTGCCCACCCCTTCTTTAGGGTCTCCTTTCCACTTTCTTTTGAGGAGGTAGAAGAGAAATCTGACACTGATCCAGCTTTATACAGGTAAGCAGAATGGTCTATCAGCAGATCCAAGCAAGCCAAGTTCGTTATGCTTTTCTTTTTGTCGTTAATATTTTTACTGAGTTATAGAGTAATACAAAATACAAAGGAAATAGGAAAGCAGTGGGGAAGGAAAGGGGAAGAAGTGAGGAAAGATAAGAAAAAAAGAAAAAGAAGCGTTGACTTCTGACAGTCTCCCTTACAGTAAAATAAGACCTTAACATCAAATCACAGCTTTTTTCTAATAGTATAATAAACAAGCCATTTCTATAAAGATCTATCTGTGTAATCTATCAAACCCAAAGTCAGAGTTACATTCTTCTCCACATCAAGCACGAAGTTCAGAAGCAGTTTCCATGTGGAAATGAAAACACTTTATGTTCTTTTCTTTTATCAGAGTGGTCCCTTTTGCCATTTCAGCCAACTCCATCAATTTCTCAAACAAGCTTGTTGGGCTTTTCCATGCAAAGCTGGAGCCTTGTCTGAATTCCCTCCAATCTTTGCATGGCATGCCAAATATCCATTTGCCCAGGCTGAGATGAAGCAAGTAAGCGTTGGCAGTAATTCTCTACACGTGCAAATTTGAGGCCTCCTGCCATAAATGATAGTTAGTAAAATGAAAAAAAGAGGGTTTAGCACATAGGTATGTAGCTTTTAAATGACATCATTCGACAACATTTTGGTTTGGCACCAATTACAGAGAAGATGAGAGAAGGCTGGCTTCACTGGTATGGACATGTCTCCAGAGAGCAGCGCCTTCCACCGTGGCCAAGACCGCCTACCAATTAGAAGTCAATGGCTGGTGACCTTGCGGGCATCCAAAACAGAGATGGCAAGACACCATCAACAAAGATATACAAGTTGCGTGCCTGTGCCCTGGAGACACAGCTGACCATGCAAAGTGGCATTTGGTGGTCTGAAAAACAGGCCCTGCACCTGCAGGAATACGCTAGGAGGAAGGAGGAAGGAGGAGGAAGAGAAGAGGAGGGGGAGGAAGAGGAGGAGGAGCAGGAGGAGGAGGAGGGGAGGAGGAGGAGGAGAAGAGCAGGAGACAAAAGGTGAAGGAGAAGAAGAAGAAATGTAGCTTTTAAATATTCACTACAAACTTATACCATGTTAAGCCATATTAAGTGGCACACTGCTGTTAATGTTAGATATACCATGGAGCAGCATTACCTTGGATCAATTATAAAAGTGTGAATGCTTAATGTTTACTACTTCATTTTAGCCCTTACCTCTCTAGGCTCAATGTACTTCATAAGATGGGAAGGTTCCCCATATTGCTTAAAGCCTATAAGCTCTTTATAGTATTCAAATACACCCATATCCTGGAGGGAACAAATAAATGCAATCCTAGTTATAAATACAAATATTACATTTGCTGACACTGCTCTTTTAACATTTCACCCAGGCTTCCCCTGACACAATTATTAATTCTTATTGTGCTGATTGTATGTTATGGTGTCCACAGAGGTGGTGGTGAGGTTTATTTATTTGCTTGCTTATTAACTTTCTATAGCCACTCACCTCAACCGGTAACTCTGGCCAGCTTACATTTCTAAAACTTTAAAAACATTTAAGACAATTACAAATAAAATAAAAAAAAACATTATTTAATATTTAAATAATTCTATTTGAAATGATAGAAACATTCAAAAATACATGTATGCAGCAGCCAAGGTACTTTGCCAATTAACAGTGCAGCCACAAATGGGGCTCTTAACATATTCAGAGCTCCAGGCTCAGGTACCCAGCCACGTTTTTAAGCCTTACGAAAGGATAGCAGGGTTGGGGCCATTCTAATCTCCAAGGGGGGACTATTCCACAGAACAGGGGCTATTATGGAAAAAGGCCATCTTTTAGTGCCCCCCCCCGCCCCAGCCGACACTCTGTGGCTGATGGGATCTGCAGCATGCCCAATCTGCTGGATGAAATTAGCTGGGTAATGTGATGACCGAGTGGCACAAAGGCAACACAATCAAATAATAAGTAGGAGTCCTTTTATTGGCTCCAACTTTGCCCTCAATGTCCTGGTTACCTTCTGGCTGGAGAAGAACTCTCCCATGAACAGCCTTTGGCTGCAGAGATTCAAGTCCAAAACGTTGTCAACAAAAACTGTAACTATAAGTCCAATCAAGGCAAGATGAGGTAATTAGTCTGGCAGGGCAAGAGAAGGAATTTCCAGGTGTGAAGGAATGGCAGTAATTCAACCCGGTTGGGAGGATGCCAGGAACGCAGATAACCAAAGTCAATACAAGATAAACTCTTTCTCAGCAGTCGCTGTTCTCAGCTTGCATCTCTTTTAAACTCTCTTCCCAGGTGTGCCTAATGAAGGGAATCAGAGCCCTTTCCTCCCCTGTAAGCCAGGCAACCCATGTTGCTCTCTTCTCCGTTCCTCCCTGTCTTCCCTAGGATGAAGAGGGGGTGGGCCTGGGTCTTCCTCTGAACTCCCTCTCCCTTGTTCTACCTCTTCCCTGCTCTGTCCAGCCGGACTTTTCCCTCTCCAGCTTCCTCCACAGCCAACAGAGCCACACTCCCACTCCCTGTCAGTTGTTCGTCTTCCTCCTCGGATTCAGATTCCAACAGAGGCATGACAGGTAGAGACTGTTGGAAAAGGGCAAATCCTTCAAGTGTTCAAAAAGAAGCTCAAGTATGAAACAGAAGGTTAGAGTCAAGATTGTAGATCAGTGATCCCCAACCTTTACGGTTCTGTGGTTACCGGCAGCGGCAGCAGTGGGGGGAAAGGGAATAGTTTCACACATGCAGCCTAATCCTGTGCCATGCACAAATTGAGTTTCATGCACTTGCCCACTTGTGTGGCCGCGAACAAGGGGGGTTGGGGATCCCTGTTGTAAATGACACCTTCTGACTATAAATTCAAATCATCTAGGCTCCAAATTCTACAGATTAAATAGAGCTCTTTTTAGTTTTTAAATTCACTATTGGTTGCCATATCAGGGAAAAGTTTCCATGGCTTGATTAACCATGATTTCTTGAATAAACCATAATTGGCTGGCTGGCTTCACACATTCTCTTAAACCATCAACTACAGCTTATAAAACAAAACTGCCCGGTTCACATATCATGGTCAGCAAAAAACTACAAGTCACATCATTGTTGATTATCATGTGTGAATCCCTGGAACGATGGGAAAGACACAGTGGTGGGATTCAAAATTTTTTACTACCGGTTCTGTGGGCATGGCTGGATGGGCGTGGTGTGGCTTGGTGGGCATGGCTTGGTGGGTGTGGCTGGAGAAGGATACTGCAAAATCCCCATTCCCTCCCCATTCCTGAGGGAAAGTTACTGCAAAATCCCCATTCCCGCCCCACCCAACTAACCTGCTTTCCAGCTCTGTTCTCCTGTGCAGGGCAACAAAAGAAGACCCAGCCAATCAGCTGGAATTCGGGAGGCCGAGAATAGATGGGGGGGGTGAGAGCAGTCAGAGGTGGTTCTCTGAACTACTCAAAATTTCTGCTACCAGTTGTCCAGAACTGGTCAGAACCTGAATACCACCTCTGCTGAATACCACCTCTGGAAGGACAGAGTTTTTTATAGATATAAGATGCCCCTTCAATTCTTCAGCCACAAAAGGGAACAAGTGTGTAGATGCAATATGACATTTTGTCCCTTAAAACTGCAACAATTTTGGGACCTACAGGTTCCAATCCATCCAAAATGTGTAGACGTTTACATAAATACACTTGAAAAGCTCAAAAAGCATTATTACTCTAGAACGAGGGATGAAAATGTATTTGAAGTATTGTTAACTTACCAGCCATCTTTTCCAGGTTTTTTGAATGATATGTGCTGCTTTATCCTTTTTCTCTTCTTTCTCACCACGGAATAATTCTATCAGATCCTTTGGATTTATCACACGTTTTCCAAAAGTTCTTAAATTAAAATTTCCATGATACCATTATGCTCTATTATGAAATAATTATTTGGGTGCTTTTTTCTTATTTTAAAAGTCCCCTTTTCAACACTACACAACCACGAAGAAGAGTTTAAGTATTATATAATTTGCATAGAAGTCCAAATGACTTTTAAAAAAGCAAATATAAATAGGCCAAAACCCAAATCTGGATAAATGAAATAATATCACCCTAACCCTGGTGATAAAATCACAACCAGCAGCTTAAGCATCAATCTTCAGTATTACGGACACTGAATACAGATCCATGGAGACAATTTAAAGTTTTACACCAAGCACTAAGCACTATCAATCAGCTGGCCATACAGGAAGTAGGGCCAGTGTACATAAAACCAAGAAGACTCCTAGAAGAGAAGAGTTGAAATCCACCACTTTTCAACTTACTGTCCTAAACCCATGGGATTCAAATTATTTTTACTACTGGCTCTGTGGGCGTGGCTTGGTGAGCGTTGCAGGGGAAGGAGGTGGTATTTGCTGGTCCTCCGAACTACTCAAAATTTCCGCTACTGGTTCTCCAGAACTGGTCAGAACCTGCTGAATTACCACTTCTGCCTAAACCTCCTCAGTCGACTAGAGCAGGAGTGTCAAACTCGATTTCATTGAGGGCCGCATCAAGGTTATGTTTGACTTTGGGAGCCCAGGGTGGGCGTGACCAGGGTGGGCATGCCAATTCGACATTACTCATGTTGGGGGCACATGTTGTGGCCTGAGTGCTCTGCCAATTAAAACGGGTTTCCGAGCTCTGTTTCCAGCTGCGACGGCCTCCTGCAACTCTTTGCCAGCAAAAATGGAGCCCAGGAGGGCTGCATGTGGCCCTCACGAGCCCCGTTTTCACTGGCAGAGGCACCACAGGCTGGTCCTTTGCTGTTTCCAGGGCAGCCCCGTGGGTATTGAGGTCCACCACAACCTGCGGAGACAGCAGCAGATTCAGACAGTGAGGAGAACAGTGGATTGTATCTAAGAACCCCCGTGGGCCGGATTTGGCCTGCGAGCCTTGAGTTTGACACCCCTGCACAAGAGCAGTGTTTCCCAACTTCAGTAATTTTAAGATGTCTGGACTTCAACTCCCAGGATTCTCCATGCTGGCTGGTGAACTTTGAGAGCTGAAGTCTATCTATCGTAAGACAGATGAGGTTGAGAAATGGTGCACTAGAGAAGCAACTTGGAATCCATGGCTGAAGGTGAGACCTCTTATTGTGCAGTCTTCTGGGTGTTCAGTAATTTCAACTGGTGAAAACTGTATCATTTCCCATACACTGAAACAGGAAAAGTGCAAAGATTATAATTTTAAAAGAACCCCATTACAATTAACAACAAAGAAAACTTCCTTTAATCCAAACGCCCTTGGCTTTGTTTCTGTGTGTCAGATGGATCCAGCAATGTAAACAGTGCACCCCTCAAAATTATACTATGCATCTCTCCACAGTAAACAGCAAAATATTGCCCACCCTGCTAAAAGATATAAATATATACTCCTGCTATGGGATAATTACAGTCTTACCCGTATTTTTTCTTGGTGTCGGCCTGCATTGTAGTACTACGTTTGGTGCTGGAAAAAAAAATCAAAACTGTGGATTACTATGCTATTCATGATTTAGGGGGGAAATTTGCTGATAATTTCCATGGTTTGATATTTTATAGCATGAAGGGGGAATAGGTTGGGGGTGGGTTGTATATGCTGAATAGCACTCATTCAGGTATATGAACATTGCGGATCATTAGCACATATAAAAGACATGAAAAGTAAAAGATGAAAGGCTACTGTTGAAAGAAATAACTTTCTGGGTTCATTTCCAAGTGGGGAAAAAGACACTGGAAACATAGAGGCTATTTGGAAAGATGGTTTAATGGTGGACAGGGCCACATGGCTTGGAGCTCCAAAGTGAAAAGGATGATCACGTGCTTCAAGATGTTGGGTGAAGGAAAAGAAGGAAGGGCTGAGATGCTGAGAATCCCTTATATATCCTCTGTTGGGATTTGAATTTGAGCTTGTATTCTGATTGGTTGTCAAGCTCCCATGGGGCCATGCAGGGGCAACTCTGTAGGCTTTCCTGAATGCCAGGCTTGGTTGAACCTTGCTGGATGATGATGTAATGAAAGGGCTTTGGGCAATTCCTATTATAGCTCTACCTGGAGATCTTTGTTATGTAAAATATTCTGGCCCAGGCCTTAATGGCCCACCCATAAACAAAGGTGGGGGTGAGCTTCTGCTTCTGAGGTGAGTTTCTGCTTCTGAGTTTCTACTCTTTTTAGGGGAAATATTCTGCCTTTTTAATATTTCCTAGGCTATTTCATTTTTCTAGGAAAGGGATGGGTGCCAATTTCCTACCCTACATCATATAAACTCTTTAATACCAACAAAAAAGAATATTTGTAGCTCAGAACTGAACAGAGGTCGTTGGTGCTGTCTGAGTTTGATTGTTTTTTTTTGCAGACGCTTCATTACCAAACTGGGTAACATCATCAGTGCTCTACTGAAACATCTACAAAAAAACAACAACAACCAAGTTCAGAAAGCACCAAGGACTCAGCAAACTGTTTAGTCTGTGGCAGTATTTATTAAAGTGTGGTCCTATGAGAGCTCCTTAGACTCACAGAGAAATCAAAATTATTTGCCAGCTATGTTGAAAAATAATGCATTAAAATTCCATCAAACAATTGTGAGATGTGGTAGCAATAGCAAATGAATCCATTCTAATTTTTAATATGGTAAATATTAATAAATATAACCCATACAAATGAACACTCTTTGAAGTTCCTCCATAACTTTTTAAAATGGAAAGAGGGTCCCGACAGGTAAAACAGGTTAAGAAACTAGATCTGTATTCTGTAGGTTCCTTGTAGTTCCTAACAGATTTTAGCAATTGCACTGTAAAAGTTCTTTTTATTGCATTTTTATAGTCTGTACCTTTTACTTTGAAATGACATTGGCAATAAATTGGTACTTAACCAATAACTTGTTTTATTGTGCTTCGCTTTATTGAGCTCTGCACCTCCACCAGCTTTTTAAAAGATTACAACTTGTGAAGGCTCAGGTAATGATTTTTATCTATTCAGATATTAGAACTTTCTAGAAACAAAGTATTTTTAAATTGAAATATGTATATTGGGTTTTTTTTTAGACCTAATATTATTGTACATTTAAGAGAATGCAGTATAGCGTAAATGTAACTTTTATGTGCTTGGGAAACCAAAACATTAATGTGACTTACTTTATTGTGATACTTGCTTTATTGAGGTAGTCTGGACCAAAACCCGCTATATTTTCCAGGTATGCTATAGTTTAAAATGTGTGTGCAGTAATCCAGAGACAAATAAAATTTGTCAGAGTATATTAGATGGAATTCTGAAAATTCAATTGTTTAGAAAACAATGTAGAAAGGTGAAATCAAATCCTAGACACATTTAAATTAGATTATCCTTGGAATCAGCTGTACACTGAAGGCGGTTTTCAACCTTCTTTGAAGGTGGTTTTCAACCTTCCATTGGTTAAAATCAGATTACATGCGTACATTAATTCCTTTGTTATTAAGTCATTGTTATTAAGTACTACATTGCTGCCAACCTCAATTCAAAATTCTTCAAGGCCCAGAATAAGCAGGTTTTCCATAGGAAGCTGGATGCAGATTAATTTCAGAACTAATTTATTTATTTTCTGTTTATTTTTCTGAAAACCAGAAATGTAATGGCATCTAATCTAATGAAAGACCAAAGGATCTTCTTTGATGCTGATGCCACCCTGAAACACTGAGAGGTCTGTTTCATCTTCAGTGTCATGGAATTGCATAATACACCCTAGGAAAACAAACAAACAAACAAACCCACATACCAAATTTGCGAATGCAACAGATTAAGCTCTGCCTAAAGCTATTGTGAGTTTGGCAGGTGAATTGATGGGCATTTTAAAACCCATTGTTTCCCAAACCTGGCAACTTTTAAGATGTGTGGACTTCAACTCCCAGAATTCCTCAGCCAGCATGGCTGGCTGAGGAATTCTGGAAGTTGAAGTCCACAGTCTCTTAAAGTGGAGAAATACTGATTTAATCCTCCCCGGCTGCAACCCTGTTCCCCTCGGCCCTCCCGCTCCCTGCTTCCGATCCCGAAGCCTGCCTGATTAAAGTGGAACCGGCCCGGAGCCCAGCGGTGCCTTTCGATTTCCGGCGGAGGCGACTTTGGCCGGTCGTGGAACCCGTTTCGGTTGCCACAGCAGCCACCTGGCGGCGAGACGCAGACGGCCTGCCGGGGAAAGGAAGGCGGCTGGCCTCAAGAGACCGACGCCGCAAAGAGTCGGCCGTCTCTTTCTGCGCGGTTTTTGCCCCCAGAGCCCTCTGATAATGCAGTCTGACCACCCTTTTTTTTCAACCATCTTGCCCCCAAAAGTGAATAATCAGTGAATAACTTTAATAAAGGGTTTTTTTTTCTGGCATGGATTTGCATTTGTGTACATTCCTGCAAGCATCTTTGGTATTGACAGCTGCTTTCTGAACATGGGATGCCTGACTACCTGGAAAGCCAACCAAGCAAGAGTCATTGTGGCATAATAACTGTGGCAAATGCAAGCTTCCTGTATCCCAACATAGTCTTGAAAGGAGCAGGAATAAATCAAGAAAAGAGGAAAGGTCAAATTGTTATTTATTGCTATAAAGATCTACACATTTGGGACAGTTTTAATGAATGTAAAAAAATCTGTTGCATTAATTAAAAACTGAAGATTCTAATATTACACAATACAGTTATTAAAAATAGATCTGAAAGTGTCACTTTCCTTAATGCTGGACTAATGTCTATTCCGATGCTCCAGTAATGGTCTATTGGTTAATACAATTGGCTCATGGGAGACTCATGCCGTTTTCATCAGTGAAAAGAAAATACTGTACAGGTAATCCTAAACTTACGACTGTAATGGAGCCTGCCCATCATGATTCATACTGGTTTTAAAGCAGGTTGGTCATGTGACTGTCCCAATTTTAAAAACGTTTTTTGAGCCAGTCGTTAAATGAGTACTGCAATTGCCGCAGTTGTTAAATGAATGCCAAACCTATATTTCTATGGGCCCGGTTTTGCCAAAATCTTGAAGGAAACTATTGTAAAATGTGGTTATGCGACCATGGGAAACTGCAAATGGCTATAAATGCAACCCAGTCGCTGAGTTCCTGAAGGACAATGGTGGTAAATCAATCAGAATTTAGAACAATCACAAGTTGAACAAGCAACAAGTTCTAAGTCAAGGATTACCTATATGTAACATGATTCAAAATAATTATTTTAGTGGAGAAGATTTTGACTTCCTGTCTCTCACTAAATTAATTAATGAGACCTGTAGCCAAATAAGGTTCATGTAGCCTAGCAAAGAGGCACTCAAGCTTGCAAGGTTAAATGTAATTAAGTCAGGCTGTATTGTCACTGGTGCTCATCAAAATATTTACTATTTTAATAGCCTTGGCAACATTAAAAAGACACTCCCCCTGAGTTAATTATGAGAGTTATGTAGCCAAAAGTTTGATGTATTTAAGTGAAACCTGTTATTGTTTTAATGTGATCACTTTGTTCCTTTAAAGAGTTATTAATTTAAACAATGACCAGGAGGCAGAACCGAACCAATACTATCTGGATCAATGACCGACATTCAAAGCAAACAGGAACTTCTTTTATTTGAGATAAGTAACCACTGAGCACCGTTTGTACTATTAAAAAGTATGGATAAGTAACCCTGTACTTACCTATCAGGAAGGTAAGCTCAAATGAGCTCAAACAAGTTACTCTTAAAGAAATTGGTACCGAGTTACAGTCTTACTGATTTTCTCCGTGTTTATTTCCTGTGCACATGGCAAAACAATATATACCACAAAGCTCTTCTCATAAATCAGAAGTTGCTTTTTAGTTTCAACCAGATGATATCTCTCGAAATCCTTTTTGATGGTAGGAAATTATTTGGCTCCTTTGAACTAACATGTAACCTGCTGTGGTTGCTCACTTCCATTACCAAGCTTCAAGGGTTGGCAAATTCATGCAAGCTTTCATTTCCTGTTAATGGTAAAGAGATCTAGTCACCGAGCAACTTCAAAAGATGTTCCCATCCAGTGCAGAGTGACCTAATTTATAGAGCCTGTTGGGCAACTTTTGGGTAGGTGTGTGTTTGGAAATCAAGACGCAACTTGCATACATAACACCAAGACCCACAGACAGAGACACACTTAGTCAGGAAGCTGTTATTTTGCCTGCCTGCCTACCAGGCTATTTGTAGAGAATGCAATTTTCATTTGCATGGCCTGCCAAACATGCTAATCAGGCTTTTCCAGGAAGCTGCAGCCCCAGCGTACCTGGAAGATAGCAGAATAGGGAAGATTAATTTGGATTTGAAATTCAGAGAGGGAACAGATATTCTATCCATCTATTGTGTGTGTATGTGTATTTGTACATGCACCATCAAGTTGTCTTGACTCCTGGCGACTATATGGAGAAAGCCATACACTGCCTTCCTCCTGTAGCTAACTCCAAATCACCTTATTAAGCAGGGTTTCTCAACATTGGCAACCT